TTCTAAGCGTGCTGAAGTTGAAGAATCATCTATGCTATGGTTGCTTACATGTTTGATTATGAAACGTTTGAAGTGCAGTTTGGGTAATACCCCGGGTAATTTTTCTTACAAGTCTTTACAAGTTTGAGATGTGACAAATCTTTGCCTAGCAGCAAATACAGAAAAATAATTGTCTGTCCATTGACCCAAGAGAATTTAATCTGCTGCTGTGCACTTTTACTAGGGTGAATAAATCTTACTCTGTTGTATGCTTGGTATAATAAGAAATTGACTGCCATAGAAATTTATTAGAGAGTGACTGCTTATCGTTGTAAAAAGGTGAATTACCTGCATTATCTGGGGTTCTTAGCATACTAATACAGTGGGTTACCAGCACTGAAAACACACTTGGATTCTTCTCTCGTATCTAGTAATTAATATTAGGTTGGTAAGTTTGGTTTTCAGTTCCCATTCTTCCCCAACATTAGTTTCTTTTGGAAAACATTTAGCTTCTGATTAATGAATAACTGCCTTGTGGGCAGGGGAGCACAGTTGCTAGTAAAATTTATTAGCAGTAGGTAACTAAGATCTATGGAGTAAGCTACCTTTCTTTTAAAGAAGGATGCTTGTGACAAATAGTTCTAACAGTAGGTATGGGTCATGAAGTTTTGGTAAATTGTAGCTTTTATAGGAAATGTTTTGTGGTTTTGGGTTTTTTTTCTTCTAATGTTATGTTGAAGAGTTCTTACATGCAAATTTTTGTCTGTCTTTAACTTTCCTATTGGGATTTCTGGTTAATATTTGTGATTCTATTTTGTTAAGTCCTTCACAAGCCATCAACTGTTGTCAGCGGTCACTCTGTGACCATCTGCGTTCGCCGCTCCTCTTCCTTCTCGCCTTATTTAATTGCAACAGCCTTGTAGAAACCACATTTTTACATACCAGAGGCGCTTATGTATACCTTGCGTATCAGGTGGTGCTTTTCAGGCTGCCGAAGACCTGGATTAGGCAGCCAAATGCGTCTGTGTGCATCGGGTGCTGTTCTCATCCGTCTGTGTTGGCTTTCACTTGCCTTCAAGTAGTTCCATGAAACAGAAACTTGGGGGCAGACATGGTGGATAGGAAAGTGCAGAAACCTCTTTACTTGCTTCTGCTGCAGTCAGAAGAGCTTATGCCGTCAGTTCAGTGGTACCGCACATCAAACTTGTGTAGATGATACCCGTTTTGTAAGTCGAAAATGGTAAAATGCTGTACATGGAGATCACTGCTGGAATTACTCATCCTAGAACGTGTATTTTACCCAATTTCAAAACGGTGTGCTTTACTTGCTCCGTTTTGTATTTCATTTTTATTCTCAAGATGCCGTATCTCGTTACGGAGTTTCTTTCCCTGGTTCAGCCTGCTCGCCTTTCCAAACCCCAGTGTCCTTAGCTTGGGCGCACAAGTTGTACGGGTGTGTCTCTGCTGAGGTGCGACTTACCACGGGGTACCTCGGGAGCCAAGCAGCAGCCCCTGCCTTCGGGTGTAAGAGTCCACACGACCAAACCACGCAGAGACCGCAGAGAGTTAAGTGCGCCAAGCCCCCGCCTTGCCCCTCAGTTTTTGGCACAAAACTTGGAAGATCGGGCGTCCCTCCCTCCCTCGTGTCTGCGGGGCGGCGGCTCCCCCGCGCCGCCCGGGCACCGCCCGCCTCGCGCGTGCCCGCGTCGGGAGGAGGAGGGCGCGCGCGGCGTGTTCCTCTGCGTGCACCGCGTCACCAGCGGGGAGGCGCTCTATCGCGCCCCGTCTTGATGACGCGACAGGGCGCCCGTTCTATTTTTAGCCGGTTGCCGGGCAGACTTGGCCAGGCGTCCCGGGGTGGCTCCGCCTCGCGGTTGCGGATTGGTTTATGCAAAGCGACTCTCCCGCAGCAATCCCGAGCGGGTGTGCAAATTCCCCCCCAGGGCCCGGCCATGAGGCCCGGGAAGTTTGGCTCCGCCGGCCTGGGAGCTGGTGGGGGGTGAGGCGGCTGCAGGGGCTCCCGCCTGGCTTCCCTCGGCGTTCCCAGAGAGAAAACTCATCCTTTCATGTGGAAAATAGGCAAGCAGCTTTCCTGCCCCCAGATATAAAGATTATGAAAAGTCCCTACCAGGCTTCGGTTAGATGGAATTACGAAACAGCTGGTTCCTTCACATACTGAAGACCTGCCTCCTCCACTCTGAGGTAATGAGCGTGGTGGGACTTCAGCAGTGACTTCATGTGTGGAAGGGCTGGTCTGAGCAAGGGGCAGGCACACAAGGCAGCAGGTGCATTGCCCCTCTGGAGAAATCTGATCTTCCCTAGAGGAAATACTGATAACACTTCATAAAACAGCGGGTTCCCACAGCCAACTAATCAACTGCTATTTTAGTTCTATTTTAAATTGTTGCTTTTTTGTTACCGAGAAAATGTAATCTTTGCAAAAAACTTCTGAAAGGTGCTTGTACGCATGACAAACAACACTTTAATGCAGCATCACCTTTTCTGTTGCAAGTTTTTTTACTTATGTTTCTAATGACATTTGAGAAGCGACCTCACTGTTAGCATCATACAGCTCACCTCTGAAGTCTGATGTCACTAAAGTTGCAAGTGTTTGAAAGCCAAGGTTACCTCACTAGTTAGTTGTATATGTCAACTAGTTTAGAAGATACTTTACAGAATGTTAAGAGTAAAGATACCAAATTTTCACTAGAAAACTGTTATTCTGCATCTTACCCAACATGACACTTGTAAAGAGATCTGCCTTAAAAAGATGCAGTTCTGCATACATTAGTGGAATGCACAGAAAAGCCTAAACGTGAGCAGAACATCTTGCCTTTTTTTTTTTAGGGATTTTTTTCAGTTTCTCATATTTTTTTGGGCTGCATGTACATGAACAATTAATTGAGGTTGTTCAGGTTTTAAGCTTGGAATATCAGAAGTTGGGTAAGTTTTTAATTGTAGAAGCGTTCTGGCAGTTAGTGTCCATTTCTGTGGAATTATTAGCTCCTCCTCATATTTAAGGATAATGGTAACTGTTAATCCTGTGCCAAAGATGGAACTGCAGTATAACATTTAAACTTTTTGTAATAAAAATATACCACAAATGTATCTTAAAATACACAAATTCAACTTTATATAAATTTCAGTAAATTTATTTTTTACAGAAACAAGCATACTTAGCGCTTTAGCTTGTGTTTAAAAAAAAAAAAAGAAATCAATCTGTAAGAAAACCGAATTTTGCTGTTGCAGATATTTCAAACAGCAGTTCTTGTTTAGCGTTTGGAGTTCTCATAGCTGAACTGAATGTTTTAAGGTGTTGATAAAAGTTGAAATCTCTAACGCTTGCGGGAAGTAAGAGGACACAGGATCTACCACTGGTGCTCTGGCTGAGTTCCAGTCAAGCAGTTTTACTGTTTTAATGACCCAAATGGCTGTTAAAATTTTGTTTACAGAGAAAAAGACAGAAACTCATCTTGGAGAATGAGCTTAAGCTTCATGTGCTAAAGAGCGGGTGTTTCTGAGGCACTTGAGTTGCTTGTGTAAGGCCAACCTGGAGTGTGTATTTTAGTGAAAAGTTGTCTAGGGAAGATTTTCGCTTGTTTTCTGGTCTTCCTCCTTCAAAAGTATGCATTTTATGTGTAGTAGTTATCAAGGGATAAACTGATGAACCATGTAAAGGACGATTGTGCAAAACCACCAGCAGATGAAAGATCTTAGTTGTGTAAGCGGACCTGACAGTCATTTTTTACCATGAGGAATCCATTTTTCCTACAAGACATGGCAGCCTTAGGGGAAAAGGACTCTAAAGTTATTAATTTAGCCTGAGAAATGGGTTCATGAGCCAAAGTCAAAGGCGATACTATCCTCTGGACATAGAGAAAACCCAAGACAATGCTTAACTCACTGTGATGCCAAAGAGACGAGAGCGTAATTCAGGTCTGTGTATAAAGTTGTCGATTAAGTACAGTAGAGGAGACCATACTAACCTGTTTAAATCCATATGGTGACTTTACTCTGTTTTACCAAGGCTGTAACCGTACATTCGGGTGTTTTTCTTAGGTGTCCGATCCATGTGTGGACTTCAATGTTTTACTGAACTGGTTCTTCAAAAGGCAGTTCCCAAGGGTGGGGGAGAATGGCCTCTACTTTCAAGGCAGAAGTCATGTTGCACTCGTGGGAAAAAGCCTGATTTTGATGTTTCTGTGGGGCCGCGAGAAAAGCACCGTCACTGCACGGTGTTTGAAGGAAGTAAAGGGTTACCAGCTGCCATGCTTGAACCCAGGTTGGACCTCAGCAGGTTTTTGGTTTTTTTCTTTGGGGTTTTTTTGATTCAACATTTAACATTACAGAAATACAGTAGAAATACAGTAGTAAAATAAGCCAAAAATGCTGCACGTTGAACACCGACTCGTTACGGTGGCTGTGCACACCCAGAGCACGGCACTCGGGCGTCGGCGCTTTTGTGCAGCTCCAGGTCTCGGACTGAAAACCCCTAACATTTTCTCGCGTCATTTACCAGCTCTTCGGAAAATCTCGTTCGTTTAAAGCAGACCCGCTCGCCGGCTCCCCGGGCCCCCCACGTTCGCGCCCTGGCCGACTTCTTGCCGACGGCCTGGTGGGGGTTTGTTGCTGGGTGGAATTCAGGGAGCTGCTCTCCGATTGGCTGCCG